AGAGCTTAAGAGTGGGGGTAGCAACTGGACATTCAGTGTGTATTTGTTACATGAATACAGATAGAAATGAAGAATGGGTATCTCTTCAGCTTTACGCGAGAATGTAATGAAAGATTGACACTAGCCAGAACGAGCAGGGAATTCTTCTCCTGCTACAAGGCAACGTGAAGCCAAAGGCCGGGAGAAATGGAGGAAACGTAAGATTTTAAAAAGCAGCCTTGGCACCCACATAAATACCAGAATTCATGAGGAGGAGGAGGGGAGAAGTGTGTGCACCGTGGGTCAAGTGAGGGTGCAGGGGTTTGATCACATGGGCTCAAATCCTGGTTTTCCCGTTTGCTGTGTGACTTTGCATAACTTAACCAAACTTCATGAATTTCAGTTTCCTCACCTATAAACTGGGGATAATAACATGACCTACTATAAGAAGACTGATGTGAGGATTAACTAAGATCATGTGTTCAAATCGTCTATTATAGATAAGCGTTAAAGAAACAGGCATTCAAGAAATGTTAGGTGCTGATACCTTTAAAATAACACTAGATAGAATGAGGTCACTGGCATGTCCCATACCCTAGAATGGCTCCTCACAGGATACAGCAAGAGGACTAGTTAGTGAGCAAGCCCCACTTTTTTTTATTTCAGGAGACTGAGGAGTTCCCTCCATGGTACACAGGGCACCCCGAAACAAAAATGAGATACAGCTGTCTTACTGCTTTGTCTCCTCTGACCAGTTGGAGTCATGCTTCAGGTCTTTGTAACTCAAGAGAAAACCAATCCATGTTAGTAATTTTAACAACAACAACAGAAAGTACAACACATAAATAAGATGCAGGTGAGGTGGGATCAGGGTCAGGACAGAGCAGGGAGCCAAACTCATCATAAAACCACTATGAAAAACACCTAGACACTCACCTCTCCCTAAGTCAGAATGGATTTTGAGGACCAAGCAATCAAAGCGCAAATCAATGAAATGCAGAAACATTATGTACACCTCAACCTCACTTACTTGCACTCTGCCACCCCCCAACAACCCCATGCCCACTCTCAAAACTCTCCAACATTAGCCAAAGCATGTTTGGTTTTCTCAAACTGCAAACATGAAATGGGGAGAGAAATCAAAAGGAAACATAGCAGGAACAAAGGGAATAGTGGGTTGGGTTGAAACCATGCTTTGCAGGACACAGAGGAAGTCTAACCTAGAGATCTTTTTCTGACCCAGAGTGAAGCGGATGATTTTGCTTTGAGATGAGTCCTTGGATGATGCACTGCATGATGGGAAAAGAAAAAATTTGAAGAGCTGAGTGAGGGGAGAGAAGATATATTAGACACACAAATAAAGAACGGAGTCTTATGATAATGAAATGCTCCTGGGTTTCCATCTGCCCACCTTCCCCGCAATATGCAGCTTTCTTTCTAGGTCTAACTTTTCCGATTTGATGTGAAGAAACTTCCAATGTGAAGAAACTGCTGTCAAAATTACTCAAAAACTTTTGAGGTTCTCTTTATTTTTTTCCCTCTTTTAAACACCAAATATCTTTTGTTGCTACTAGTCACTCTAAAGCCTTTTCCCCACAATAAAACGCTAAGGCAAGGGGTCCCTGACAGGTAAAGAAAACTTTGCACCTTTCTAAAGTACGCAGATGCTTCCACTTCATGTGCTTGTTCTACCAGGGTGCTTTTCTGATGAATGACCTCAATGTTCCATAAAGTGGGCCCCAAAAAGGGTACAGATGTTTGCAAATTTTGCTGGTCTTGGAAACTTTTACTCTCAGTGGTAAAAATGATCATTCGGAGTATTCTGAATACACTAAGTTTGGGGCTTTGGATCATATATTTGCAATTTTTTGGATTTCCCCTAAATGGCTGAATACCGACAATGTGTAAGGTAGATACAGATGGAGAGGGAAGCGAGTCTTGGGGTGCTCGGCTCCCCTTCTGGACTCTAGACTGGAGAGGAGATTCAAGAGGTAGAACGGCGATCGCGTTCTCCGCCACCGCGTAGATTAGTGACAAGAGCTTCGGTAACGAGGGAAAAGGGAGCCTCCACTTGGGGAGCGTGACAATGGACCTGAGCCAGCGAGGGAACTTTACTTTTTAAAAAATCTATAGCCAGAGGGCCAGCATGGACTATCATGTCCCTAGAACTGGAAAATAAGATTAGCCTCTGGATGTAAAAAGAGAAAGTATCAGTAGATAACGGATGAAACCAGTCATCTGCAGAAGTCACCCGATCTGGCCCAGATAAAGGATGAGCGAGAATGGACAGTAACTCCAAAGACCAGTCCCTGTCCCCACCACGATGGCAGGAGCCACTCTGGAATAAATGAATATAAAAACCTGGCTTCGGTGAGCTTGGCTCATCTTTAGGTAAAGGATTTATTAATAGTAGGATGTTTTTTCTTACTGGGAGGGGGGTGACCTGACTGGAACATCTGGTTCTTTTAAGAAAATAAACGCCTACTGTGGAAACGGCTGCCTCGAGCAGCCCAGCTCAGTGGCACAAGCCCAGTGCTTCTCCACACGTGTGCCCTGGAACCCGAGGCAGCAAGATGCTCTATAAAAGTTCTGTGGCCACATCTGAGGAACGTTTTCTATGCCCCTCTTCTGAGGATTCACGGAACACACGTGCTCCTCTCCCCGGCTGCCTCATCTCAGTAAATACCATTTTCCTCGCTGCTCAAGCCCGAGCTCTAGGCTTTGCTCCCTCACTCCAGGCAGTCAGTCTCTCTGTTGTCCTGTTGGCTCAGCCTCTAAAATATTCCGAGTTGATCCATCTCTACAGCTGCTCCACCACCTTGGCCCCAGCTGCTATCACCCAGAGAACCACAGAAACTGCAGCCCCGGGTCCTCCCTCCTGTGCTCACTCTCCTCAGTCGTACTCTCCAGAGGGAAGCAAAGGCGACTTTTTAAACACTGTGAATCAAATCAAGTCTCTCTCCTGCTCAAGACTCTCCAATGGCTTCCTGCCACCTTTAGAATGAAATATGAACCTTTTGCCCAGCTTAGCCAGCACTCTGTGACCTGTCCTCAGGGCCATCGCACTGCTCAAGTCCAGGGGCCACCTGTCACACTGCCCTCCATATAAATGGTGGCAGCCCTCTCTGCATACCAGCCACCTTTAACTCCCCACCTCCCCTCGCCCACTGAGCTCCAGCCACACCAGCCTCCTCTCTGCTCCTCCAACCTGCCGTGCTTCTCCTCTCACGGGCCTTCGCGCCAGCTGCTCCTCTGCCTGCTCTAGTCCACACCTGACTTCTGCGTGGCTCACTCCTTGTCAGTCATATTTCAACTTCGGTGTCGCGTCTCCAACGAGACCCTCCTACCAACCCAACCTAAGGGTCAACCCAACCCCTCTGAATCCCATCATCTTATTGTCACATCACTGTCTGAGACTTCTCTTCGCTGTTTACTAGCCTGCTTCCTCCAACAGAATGTAGAGAGCAGGTACCCTGCCCGGCTCCTGCACCCTTGACCTCCCCAAGTGCCTAGGGCAGTGGCAGGCACACAGAAGCCCTTCAAACGCTAACTAAATAAACTTGTGTTGGCAGATTCAAGGATCTGAGAACTTCAGTAACTGTTATAACAACTTAACCCAGATTATTTCCCCAACTTCTTCCCTCACAGGATGCTTCCCCTGGCAAGTTATCACCCGGGGAATGAGCACTGTGCAGAATCAGTGTGGGAAGTGATGTCCTGATCACTCACCCATCCAGCTTGGATAGGCTACGTCTGATCAAAGAGTGGCTCTTCAGGGCGGGGGTGCAGAGGCTAGCTGCCTGGCTGGCTGTTCCTCATTGCGAGTCCAGGCATCTCTGCTAGCTCACAAATTTCCATAATGTGAACTGGATACAATTAGATAATTCATTAGGGATCTGATTTACATCACATCCATCACTGCTGGTTTTAACAGCATCACAACTGGGAAACAGCACTTCTCATGGGGATATAAAATCTTCTATAAGGTACCTGCTTTGTTTGAACTGCTTTGTGCTCTGCCAACTACAATGGGCTGCTAAGGATATGAAGGTATATGAGAAGCCGTGTGCTTATTAATGCTGGTGCTGCGGGGACTGGAAGAAAAAAGCCATTGCTCTTCAGCCCATATTAAATGAAACCAAGCAGTGAGTTTGATAAGTGACATTGAAGTTTGATAGCTAAAGCTTTACAGCTGAAAAGCAATTATTGGGGACTTTTCTCAAACTTTAGTATGAGTCAAAAACTTTCTAATTCCTAATCTCCTACTTATTTTTTGGCCATTAAAGCAAATGCTTTACAAGGTGATCTTCTGCAGAGTTGTTTAGGAGTGCACCCATTCCCACTGTAACACAGGAGATGGGGACTACCCTGGCCCTTTGCTTACACATCCTTCTATGGGGAGGCCCACTGGCAAGCGTCAGTCCCTCTGGGGACACCAACAAAATCTAGGCCTAGTCCTGCAGAGTGGAGGGCCACAGCCGACATGTCCACCAACACTCCACAGTCAACAAAACTCAGCATATTTAGTGGGATGCTGGCCTTCTCCAGGAAAGTGGCTGCTTGCTAAGGACCACTTGCTAGCTTTCTTCTTTGTTCCTGTCATTTGTCTTCTGGCAAAGCAGAGCAACCTGCTGGAGGACAACTATGGCTCCCGGTAAGTAAATTTACTCACACATATAACACTGAACACCCAGCTTGCAGGCAAACATGCAAAAGAAGTTTGAAGTCTATTTTAGGGACTGTTTACTGCACACAAGCGAGTGTATCATAAGCCAGAGTTAAGGCAGGAGCAGCCAATTAGCTCTGGCTGCTGGCGATTCTGACTTAAAAAAGTACATATCACTGCCAGGCATAGGAGGCCGCCTGCATTTCAAGGTCATGCTAATTCCCCACTAACTATCAGTAGTTCTCAGCACAGAAGAGGCTCGAATAAACACCACATTCAATATAGGCTAGAACTCAGATGGTGTGAAGGAGGACCCCGGAAAAAACAGAATTATCAGTTGGCAAGAAGCCCCCACCTGGACTGCATTTCGGCTTGTGCTTTTGACTGCTGATGTGGTGCTGGCTGGTGAGGCTGGCACAGGGCTTGGGGAGTGGCTGGCACCTGTTGCTGAGGAGTGCCAGCCTGGCACTGGAAGGGGGCCCCGGCCACCTGGGACACGGCCGGCGGCAGTGGCGAGGAGAGGTGCTGCTTCTGGGGCTGCTGCTGCTGCTGCTTGTACCGGGAGAGGCTGAAGAAGAGGCCTAGAATGGCCTTGAGGTTCCCATTCCTGATTTCTGCGAGACAACAGAGAGTGGTTAGAGGCGCAGTCCTTTCTTGCTCCAGTTCAGTGGGCTGCTTCAGCCCTCACATGCACTGCATTCCTCTAGGATATGACAGATTTCCTGAACACTTGTGTAATTGGCATCGCAGTCAATGAAAACCAGGCCTAAACCACAGAGAAATTAGGCTATTCTCCCTGCTGGGATTAGAGTGGATACACGAGGCAAGTTGCAACTGGATGTCTGCGAGTGCCAGGCGGAAACTCTCAGTAGGGGCAGAACCAAAAAGGTAAGAGTCCCAAGCAAGACCATGCTTGTTCCAGGGGCCGGGCAATGATCCGGGCACAGAGGAGCTCTCCAGCACCGGGGAAAACACACTGGTCTTCGCGGAGCTCTGCCAAGTCCGCATTCTGTGCTACGAGCCACCTGGAGTGTACCAAGTAGCTGCTGTCCCATTCCCAAGTCCTCTCACTGCTTTCCCTGGTCACCGTGCCCTCCGACACTTGGCTCTGGGTCTCTCCTGTCTGTTGAATAAACAACTTCAAATTGAGATAGGCTATAGGACTTGCTTCTAGAAAGAACTTACACAAAAATTCTCCTAGATTAAAAGAAATTAGAGCAGAGTAGAGATAAGAAAATTTTTATTCCAGATGGAGTTTTTCAGGTGTTAAAATGCATTTGCCTCAAGACACGCATAAAGAGCTGCAGAGAAGGAATACAGTATTTATTCACAGGCAGAGGCTGTGGATGCGAGGGTGTTTCTCCCAGGGCAATCCCTTCTTGTGTGCTGGGCTTTTAACACCAGATCCAATAGCCAGGCTCTAAACTGACCCTGAGGGTGAAGCAACAGGGCCAACCAGCATGAGACACACAGATGGAGGAACTTTGGGGGCTCCCTCTGTGTTACTTAGACCCTAAGCTGAGGGAGTGAGGTTGGAAGAAGGGAAGCCTCATCTGTGTGGGTAACACGCCCCCCTCCCTAGGTTAGCTCAGGCTGGGGAAGAGGCTGTTGATAAAGGAACAAAAGTTTCCTCCCAGGACCAGTTGAAGGGCAGAGGGTGTGAATGGGGTCCTTTTAGACACACGCCCCATTCCTTGCAAGCCTGCCAGTGCCCAGGGTGTGAGCTGCTGATTAGACCAGGCTGTTACCTCCTGTTGCAGTAGACCCCTTTCCAAGCTCTGTAGAAACTGAAAATACAAACTCCTAGAATTCAGCCTTCACTCTCTACTTTGGGAGCTAGCAGGTTCTGAGGGTGGGACAAAACTCACAGGAGCAGAACTTCTGGAAAACCTCAGCCATGAATTCCAGTCTGTATTTTACCACTTACTAGCTGTGCAACCCTGGGCAAGTCACTTAATCTCTCTGGGCCTCAATGGCAACATTGACACAGCCTGCCTATGACACAAGGTTGTTCTGCAGAACACATGAGAGCGTATGTGTGGAAAGCTCACTGTAAACAGTGAAATCCTTCACTCATCTTGGATATGTCATGGTGTTAACCCTAAAATCCTGTATGAGATTCCCACATAGTTCCAGTTTCATGCCTTAACAATGAGGATTTTTATTATGGTGACTTTATAATTTATCATAATACCTGGGAGAGTGAAGGTGGGGTGCTCTTAATTACACCAGGATGACAAGTGTAAGCTAGACTGACCTGGACAAATCAGGATGCTTATTAGCCACTGTCTGCACTGCAGGGAGCAGAGAAAGTTCCAAGGAGGTGGCCAAGCCCCCCAGTTTCTTTGGATAGTTCAACTTTAACCCTTCAGCTCTGCTTCCTGCTCCATCCTCAGGAAACCAAAGGAGAATCACACACCTATGGTTGGTTCTAGTTCTGGTTCTAAATGTTCCTACGAGGCCTCAGGGCCACGGAATGGGAGGCTGGGGCAGGACAGTGCACTTGACTCATTTGACTCCTGGGAAAACGGAGGGGGAGTGACACACTCGTGGGTGCCTAGCTGGACAGAGATGGGGATTAGGGACAGAACCACAATGAGTCAATCAAGAGCTGGCATGGAATCTGGGAAACCAGACAATTTCTCCTCAAAATTAAATTCACTGGAGGGAGAAAGTAGAGCTAATCATGGAATAAATGAAATCTATGTAAGACTTTCAGTGCCTTTTATAACTGCTGTCGGATTATATACAACTTATTTATAATAATTACTAATTAGCATGTACCAGGTTAAGCTCTTTCCGTAAATAATCTCATTCAATCCCTACAACTTGGGAAGTGAGTATTATCACCCCTCTCTTACTTAAGGAGAAGCAGAGGCTCAGGAAGGTTTTATGACCTCCCAAGGTAATAAATGCTGGAGTTGGGGTCTGAATCTTGGTTTCTCTGGCTCGACGCCTGGTCTCCTAACACTGTATAACTTGGCTTGCTTTATAGTCATCATGTGTGCTGAGTTTAAAGGCACAGCAGATAATGTTTTATTAAGCTAGCTGGTGGTCATCTAAGTATTCCTCATTCTTCTTCTACAAGAATTCTTAAATTATGGCATGTGTCAAACATTCCATAATACATTTTTTAAATCATGCAAGCAAATCAAAGAAGGGAGGACTTGCAAATCAGTATATCCAAGGGCTCAGAGGCTGTTCACTGCAATAGGCTGGCATGTCCACGCCAGCCTTCTTATAACCTACCAGCCCAACCCAGGACAGGCCGGAGCCCAACCTAGTCAGCAGCCTAGGCCGCCTGCTGTGGCTGTTAAGTCACTTGTTATTCATAACAATTTGCCCAAATTATTCCCTAAAACATCTTTTCACTTGTCAGAGAGCACAGTGCTCCCATAAGCACACTTTTTCCAAGGAGGCAACACTGATTTTAGGAGCCAGAAAGACCTAGGTTCAAATCCCCACAGTCCTTCATTTATAGACTTTGAGTATTTACAAGATTCAACTCTGAGCCTCCATTTTCATCTTTAAAATGGGCAGATGCGTGCTGCCCCTTTCCCACTGGGTTGTTATGAGAATTAAGTGAAGATTGAATGAGAAAATGCAGGCAAAGCATCCAGGACACTGCCTGGCTCAGTGTTTCCCTCTTTGGCTCAGAAAACAGAGTCACTGTACCTGTGGCCTCCTCAGAACTCAACACAGGGCTCTTTGCCTAAAGGAAGCTGGGCCGCTGTCCATCTCCCTGCACATCCCCCTGTGCTAGTCACAGGGGGAAGAAAAAGGTTGGCCATAAATAATCTCATATTAGAGGAAACTCAGCTTCTTTCTATTTTTTTAAACAGTTTTTTTTTTTTATTGAGGTATAATTCGCATCTATAAAATTAAATGTACAATGATTTTTAGTAAATTTAGTAACATTCAAGTTTTAAAATATATCCATTACCCTGAAAAGAGTCTTCGTGCTCATACAAATTCAATTCCCAGGCAACTTCTAATCTGGCTGGTTTGCCTTTACTGGACATTTCATATCAATGGAATCATATGAAACATAGTCCTTTACAACTGGCGTCTTTCACTAAGCATGATGTATTTAAGGTCTATCCATGTTAGAGCATTTATCATTAGTTTCTTTATATTGCTGAGTATTATCCCATTATATGGATATATCACATTTTGTTTATCCATTCCCCAGTTGGTGGGTATTTGGACTGTTTCATTTTCTTTTCAGAACACAAAAATCAAGAGTGGTGAAGGCTCTGTTTGGGGTTGAAAGCCACCCAGTTTATGCTATGGGTGGTCATTAACAAACAGTATCCAAAATAGCTGGGACTGTATTCTTTCCATATTTCTAAATGTCATCTGTCTGTGTTTCAGGCCCGGTACACCAGCTCCACAGGCATTCTAAAAACAAAACGTCCTTTTGCCAGCCCACAAAAATGTTTCCCTTATGACATTTCCCAAGGCCTTGGAAAAAGAGTATCGTTCTGTATCTGATCAACTATCCTCACCCTCTTGCTATCTAGGGAAGGAAAATAACAGATCTAGAGAGTAGACTTGTCCAAGGAGACATTGGCTAGCTGGCGTCTAAACCAACAGGAATCCTGCTCTCCTCTCTCTTCTTGTGGCGGCCCCATGTAAACAGAAGAACAAAGTACACAGCCATATTCCAATTTCCATCAGAATTCAGTATTGCCTTAACTCTCAGTTTCTTTGGGTTCTGACTGATCTCTTTGTTCCCATTAGCTGGTACTAATCTGCATAGATGTTATAGGGAATGTGGGCACAAAGGGTAGAATAAATAGAGTTATTTTCTTTCCACATTATTTAAAGAGAAACCACAGGCCTGGTTTACAAAGGCACAGGGCTGAAATAATCTAACACAAAGAAACCTGCTTTGTAGGAAGGAAGGGATTTGGAGCCAAAGGGAGGATTGCCTCCGACCACAGAGTTGCAGGATCCCTCTTCAATCGCCTTAAGCCACGGTGGGTGGTGCAGGGCTTGCCCAACTGATTCGGGACTAGCCTGCAAGGCATTACTCCTCCAGCTGAGCCTTCCCCGTGACCTACATTCGCCAAGTAACTTTCCACCTGACTCTTGCAGCCCTTCTGTGACTGCTCGCCAAGCTCTCAATGCCTACCCACAGGGGAGTGGCTTGAGGAGATGGGAGCAGTCTACGGGGCCCCTTCTGCTGAGGGCAGAAATGGTCCCACACACACTGCCAAACTCAGGTGATATGGGTACGAGGAAACGGAAATGTTCCACCTGTTGCTTTTACAGGAAAGGTCCAGAAAGACCTCCTGCTTTCTGGATCAGGATGAAAGGAGAAGCAAGCTCAGCATCTAGGTCTCTGGACATCAGAGCAGAAAACCCAGATCTGAGCTCATCCACTCAGCAACTGATTTCACTTCAAAAGTGTATACTCCTTCCTGGAGGCATCTGGAAGGATCTTCCTGCCTCTGTTTCTCTAATCTGCAAGACTGATAAAGAGCTAGTTCTTTGTCCCCATTATATAACCTACGCCTCATCTCCTGTCTACATTACCCTTCACCTTCCTTTTGCCTGGTGAATGCCTATGCCTCCTATAAAACCCGGGGGAAACATCACTGCCTCTCTGAAGCCCCCCCTGACTGCCTCAGGCACAGCTGATGACTGTCATTCTTTGGGCACTACTGGACCCTGTACATACCATTAGCACAGCTCTCTTATTAATTGGAATTAAGGCTAGTTGACTCTGTGCACCCAGTGCCTAGCGCTGTGCCTGACATACAGAATGGGCCCGGCAAACATTTAGTGAACTACATGGGATAAGCCAGAGCTCTGGACCTCTGCTTCTCCAGTACAGGGAGATGGGCCCAGGGCCAGGTGTTCTCAAACTCCCAGGGATAAAGGGCTCACTTCCTCTCAGGGACAGGTTTACAGATGGTCATGACAGGTGGCGTGTGGGCTGGGGAGGGGTTGAAGGGATCTTGAAGATCACCCAGGGCTGGGTGAGGCCCAAGCTCACAGGACTCTGGCAAGTCCCCAAGAGCAAACGGGTGGATGTGACCTTTGGGAGCACCGAGGGGGCAAGGAGGCCTAGTCAAGGGGACATGCCTCACACCGGCAGGATCTCCACAGGGCTCACGTGGGCCGGTAGCCTCTGCCCGCAGGCGTCTGCTGTCTGTGGCCTGGAACAAAGGCTCTCTGTGGCTCCCTAACAGGCAGGTCGGGGCAGGACCCGAGCTGCTGAAACGCTCCAAGGACAGGTGCATACACCTCCTGGGTCCGAAACCAGCTTTAGTCACTGGGAAAGGGTGGGGACGTACGCACGGGGCTTTCCAACTGCTCATGTTATTTTTCACCAGAAAGAGCCTCCAGGCACTCAATTGTCTTCAAAAGGAAAATGAAAGCATTAAAACTACATTATTCCTTTAAACACTATCATGCTTTCTAGTGGTCAAGCAGGTGGTTAGAAGTGTAGGCAACAGTGAGTCGTAGGAAACACCAGGCCTTTGAATCAGCAGACTGAGAAGCTTATCCATGGCTGACCTGTGGGCCTCCCTTTCCCACGTGGAACTTAACCTCTTTGGGCCTCAGTCTCCTCATCAGTATGACTGGGATAACGTGAATACTGACCTCGTAAGGTTGCTGGGGGATCAAATAAGATGTAAATGTTATGGCACTTAGCTCAGTGACAGGCACTGGGTGAGTTCTCAATAAGTGGCTTCTGTTCCTACGATTTAACAATATGTCAAGCAAGATTCCTGGAAGCCTGAAACTGAATAAGGTCCACTGGAGGACAGAAGGCTCTAAGTACCCTTGCTTTCTTTCCTTTTTTTTTTTTTTAAACATATCTTTATTTCAGAGAAAGGAAGGGAGAGGGAGAGAGGGAGAGAGAGAAACATCAATGATGAGAGAGTCACTGATCAGGTGCCTCCTGCACGCCCCTGACTAGGGATGGAGCCCACAGCCTGGGCATGTGCCTGGACTGGGAATCGAACCATGATCTCCTGGATCCTAGGTTGATGCTCAACTGCTGAGTTGAGCCGGGCAGTACCCTTGCTTTCCAAGGTCAAGGACTTGACAAAGGTTGGGGCGATTCACCACCCCTTAAGACTGTACAGCTCAGAATCAGTCTTACCACCAAACACCACCACCATCATCCCTCACTTCCGAAAAAGTTAATGTAAGCAGATCTAGATGGGAGAATGTCATCGAGGGTATGGGAAGTGATAGTGTTTGAAGACCACAGAGGGGATATCTCCTCCCTCACCAAGAAGCAAGAAGGCAGGGTCCCTGCACTCTGTGCAGTCAAAGGCAAGGAGGCTCTAAAAGAATCACTCCAAGTGGGGGTGCTGGCCTTCCGGTCCCCAGCTGGACACCTTCTTAGCAGAGACTTGGCAAACCTGCCTCTTGGCCACCTGAAATGAGGGGAAAGAGCTGAAGAGAGACCATATGGTAGGGGACTTCCAGGCGGCCTGTTCTATCTACTGCAAGTGGAAGATGGAGCCTGCATACTCCTGCTGGTTCTATGGTGGATGATGGAAGGATCATGAGACCGAGCTCTACAGTCCTACCAGGACCACTTTAGCCTGGGGACAAAGGGCAGCCTGAGTCAGGGGGATGGGACATGAATGCTACCAGCTGGAAATGAGCAGCAAGAGCTGGTCAAATCTCACTACCAAGGCCCTGGGAGCAGCATGGGAGTGAGTCCCTGGTCAGTAGGGTGTGAGAGACTCCCACCCGGGGACAGGTCAATTACCTGAGAGGAGGACAGCAACTTCACCACCAGCCCAACTCTGCTGCTCTGTGCTGCCCCAGTCCTGGAGGCGCGGGCACAGGAGTGAGGGCAGGGAAAGGAAGCCATGTCATCATGCCCCATCCCCTTTCCCCTCCAAAGTCACTTGTACTGGGAGGGTGGGGGAAAGAGCTACGAGTAAAATTTGAGATTGAAGTTTAAAAATGAACAAGACTGAGTCATAAGTTTGACGTAAACTGTCCCAATAACGAGTGTGACTGAAGAGTTACAGATTCAGCCAAGACATCATCGAGTCTGGATTCAGCAGGAAAGATGGGGGATCAACATAGAACAGTGGGGAGCAGTTACTGAAATATAAACCCAATAACTGATACCTCAACACACTGCTTATAAGTATGCATCTCTATGCCCAGACTCACGGGGCTACAGTCCAACACTGGCAAGGGGAGGAGGGCCGAGTGTCTCCGCATGACGTGCTTCCTTGGGCTGCACAACACCTATGAGGCTGTGGTCCAGCTAACAGAGTTCTCAGCCTTTTCTGCTCTCTTCCACCTCTGCATGGCATGCCTTGATTTTATCCAACTGCCCCAAAAGACACCATGAACAGGAACTCTGAAATCACGCAGACCTAGGTTCAAATCCTAACTCTGCCACTCACTAGCTATAGGCTTTAGGGATGTCACTCACAACCTTTTTAAACCAAAGTATTCTCATCTGTAAATTCAGCTCATTATAAATCCCAACTTCAGTTGTGAGAGCTGGAGCTGATGCACATAAAAGCCTTAAAAGCGCAGCTGGTATAATTTATTCAACAAGTATTTATTGAGTAGATTCTCTGTGCCTTAAGGTACAGAGAGGATGAGGCAGGTGGGGAGTGTGTGCATGTGTGCATGCGTGCGTGCGTGTGTGTGTGTGTGTGTGTGTGTGTAGATGGACAAGGCAGAATGCAGGGCAATGAGTAGATAGATGGCAGAGTGGCCAGGGGTCCACATCCCAAAGAGCCTTTTCTGCTGAGCTAGACTATAAAAGTCCTTGCTGATACTCTGCCAAGCGGTCCAATCACTTCCAAAAACTGGGAGGAGCGTGTGCCTGCCACCTACAGGCCAGCACAAGAACTCTCCACCAGGAAGAAATAGGTTCCTCAGAATGGGAATTTGCATGTCCCTACCTTCCCATGGATACCACCATTCAGTCATCCCATGCCCCAGCTATGTATAGGCCACTGGGATCTCGACCCAGCGGAGGAGGGGGGCAAGGGAATCCACCAAGGACCCTCCTCTCAGAGCTGGGAATAGGGCAAACTACCCAACAGCTGCTTCAGAGACCTCTGGAAGCAGTGTGACCAGTCCTGACCTGGGACAGGCCAGGCACATCTGAGTTCCCACAGTGGAGGCGAATTCCAACAGTCCCACTCAGAAACACGACACACCCACAAGGCACCAGCAGTGGCCACCCCCGCCCCCAACACTGGAGGATACTGCAGTTCAGAAACTCAGCCAGGAAAAGCAAGCTTTCACTGCAGAGCAGAGCAGAGGCAAGAAACAGGCCCTAAACAGAATCCAGCACTTCTGCAAACTTACCTGCTCCACTGGGCTGCTTCCTTCCTCACTGCTCCTCTCCTCCCCACCCTGACCACTGGAGCAGATGCAAACGGGCATGTTTTCAAAACCCAACCTTGCTAGGGAAAAGCGGTGTCATCTGAAGCCCAGACTGCTTTACCTGTCCTGGGAAAAGTGGAGGCAGGTGCAGCCTAATGAGTTTGGGAGGATGCCGGGGCCTATGGCAGCTCTGGAGCTGGCAGCTGCTTGTGTTTACAAACAGGAGAGAGCCTGAACGTTTCCAGAGCAAGATGTTGCCCAAGGAGGCTGAGAATTCAGACCAGCCATCTCCAGACCAATACTTAATTGAACAGCAAACCACCAGCAAACACTAATGTGCTAATTAGCCACCAAATTTGAGTTAATTAAAAACTAATCAGGATGTCAAAATGTAGCATCTCATTAATACATCAAATGCTTTTATTTTTTTTAAGCTGGGAAAAGTACTGCTTCGTCTAATAAAAGTAAGAGATAAAGATTAGGCATTTCTCCCTGGGAACTGTACAGTTTAAATATGCTCTGTGGTTAAGTGTTCTCTCTCCCACAGATAAGGCCTGGCTTGATAATTAACCGAACTTCTCATCAGGTGAATTAAATCAGCACTGTTTGCCTGAGCCTTTCTCAAAGAGCAGCAGCTGTCTCCACTGCTCTCTCTGTGTCTTGCAGACATGGCCAGCATGGCTGAATATGCATTCTTGGAGTGATTCTTTAGGTTGTCAAAAAGTTGGCACCCTCAAGTCTAGACAAGCATTGAGATGCCTCCAAACCAGAAGGAAAACAAAACCAGAAGAGCCCACCAGCATCTCGTCTTAACTGCATGCGTGTTGTCAATAAGAAACAGGTGGGCATTTCTAATGAGGAAAAGGCAGCCTTGTGACAAGCGCTGACTCACCTTCTGCAGACAGCCCCTGAATGTTTATTCCCTTAGCTGCCAGGAAATTCAAGCAGGCATCTATGTTTTCAATCTAGGAGGAAAAAACAAAACAATATACACTCAATAAATGTTCAGCCTTCCCCAGAGCCATCCCTAATTAGAAACAAAATGCTATGTCAGACCGAGGGTTCAATGGGCTTTCGCTGAAGTTTTTGACAAGGAAAAACAGGACGTGAATGGATGCAGGTCAGCACTCTTCTCTGTCTGTACTTGCACGGGAAAAGGTTACCTAATATCCCGACTGTACAGAGCCAAAAGTCGAGGCCTTGGATTGCTCACGGCTGCCAAAAATAACCGGGGTGGAATTGGAGCTCTTATGCTGATCACTGTCACCAATGCAATCCTGAAAACTTGAACAGCCGCCAGAAAAACGGAGGTGGGGACTAGGTTAGCAGACCCACCCGTCTGCCAGCAGCTGGGAGAAATTTCTAGCCACCAGGGCAGCAGGCAGTCAAATGTACCAACAGCGAACGGGAGTTTCAGCAGGAATCTGGGTAGTGTTTACTCACAAAATTCTCAGGATGGCAGGCATTGCAGATGACCAGGGAGGGCTGTGACCTCGCTGAACCCCTCTGTCCTTTGTGTTTTCTGTGGCAAGAAGGGGCCCACCTGACAGACACTGGGAGGCCTCCCACCTTTGCCAGGGCTGATGCCACGGCCAAGGGTGAGCCAACATCCAGCCCTCATAAAAGAACAATTAGGTTATCCCCAAAGGTCTGCTTTGACTTCAGTTGTCAGGGCTAATTACTTTTTGGTCTACAGGAAAATGTTCGGGCTTGATTAATGTCAATGGTGAGGATAAGTAAAAGAAATGGCCTTTGACGTGGCACAGGGATCTTTGAAATCACACCATTTACATTTCACAATGGAGATCCCCCTCACCTCCACAACCACCCACTGCCCACCTGACCTCCCAGGCACCACCAACATTCTTATGAACTCAAACAAGTATTTAACCCATGGAATTTACTTTTAATTAATAAATGACTGTCTTTCCCAGTGTACATGTAACCATCCGCCTTGCCGTTCCCCGAGCAATATCCTGATCGCTTCTTCATAGCCGCAAAGAGTGAAGCGTCTACATGTTAAGAGCTCTAATTTGAGTAGAGTCTGCTCCAGTCTTCTAGAAGTCTTCCTGAAGGTCACATCCACCCTCCCTCTGATATCAGCATTTTCCGCCTCACCTCTCAGTCTTCGTATCTTCCAAATGTTTTAAATTAAGCTTGGGGACACCTGAATAAAACCACCCATTTTAGAAGACTCCATCAACCCTGAGTTTGAGGTTACTCCAGCCTTGCATTTTTTAGCTCAGGTTCCCATCTCTTTCCCAGCCTCCAGCTCACCTTCAAGGAAACATTTTCATCTCAAGGAAAAGGGGCAGGATGCAATTTCCTGCAAACTAAATAAATGCTGACGCTATGGGTCATGCCTGCCACTGCCGTGGAACATCATTTCTGTAAAGAGGGAGGAAAAGTGAGGTTGCTTTTAACTCTCCTTTCTTCCCTCCAGCCCAGAATGACTGACAGTGACAACCAGGTGGAACCATCTTGGAGGGGAGGGTGGAAGGAGAAGAAAGGCAGAGCACAGCTGGAAGGTCCCTATGGAGGTGTTTGGAGCAATTTGCTTCTATTTGTAAGTATAATAAAAATTATACCTCTAAATGCTATTTTACCCTATTACAAACGCCCAATTTTGAGAAAATAACTACCAGTCCTTACTTATGCTATTGAACACAACAGTAATATACCAAAAGGACTGTTGCTTCCACAAAGAGGCACTGGTGTTTAAATTGTGGTAAAATTATAAAATTACTCTTCTCCCTCTTGTCTCTTCCTAAAATCCTATCCCACTTCTTGAATATATTATTTTGTGCACAGCTGATAAGCAAGGCTTTGGCAATTACGTTCCCATGGAAAAGAAGAAAAAGAAAAAGCTGACCACTCCCGCCCTGCTGGCTCAGTGGTTGAGAGTCCACCCATGAACCAGGAGGCCACCGTTCGAGTCCCAGTCAGGGCACGTGCCCAGGTTGCGGGCTTGATCCCTAGCAGGGGGCATGCAGGAGGCAGCTGATGGATGATTCTCATCACTGATGCTTCTCTCTCTCTCTCTCTCTCTCTCCCCCTCTCCCTTCTTCTCTCTGAAATTAAAAAAACACAAAAAAACACACATATATGTTTTTTAAATGCTGACTCTGAATCTGTTAATGCAAAAATAAAAAACAGTACACTTGATATTATCCTGGCATGTGTCACATAGGTGGCCTGACATGGGTTAATTCTTTTCAACAACAGTGCAGCAACGTGACAATTAAAAGATACCCATTGACATATTCAAGAAAAGCACTGCTCTGCTTCCATATTGTAATTCCATAGAAATTTCCTTCCAACAAGCATAAAGAACATTTACTTGTCCCATTCACAGAAAATTCAATACATACAGTATCGTTTAAAGTATGCAGTAATTTCTTCTTGCAAGGCTAGCCTTGGTATACTTCAATTCAGCCACCTACTGGGCTTTCCTTTAAAGTTAAAATCTATTAAAAGAATAATTATAAAAATAGGTTACCTAGAGTATTTTCTCTTCCTGTCGTTTTTTCAAAGCCCTGTTATTCTTTCAATGAATTCCATAAGATCAGTAGTTCTCCACTAGGCTGGGAGCAAAGGGAGTGAAGGGGCAAGGAGTTTGTCCCTCAGGGGACATATGACAATGTCTGGCAACATTGTGGGTTGTCACAATGGGGGGGTTGCTACTCCTCGTATATAGTGCTGAACACACTAAACTGCACAGGACAGCCCCGCAACAAAGGATTACCCAATTCAAATGTCAATAGTGCCAAGATTGATAAACCTGAGTGACATGATCCTCTTAATCATTCATCCAGTCAACACAATTGTTCGGATGTCTGCTCTGGGCCAGGCACTGTGCTCGATTCTTCTGACAATGGTGGACCAAGTCCTCCTCACTGTCCAGCAGTCCACACTCATGTAATGCTTCTCTTTAGGGTCCACAGAGACATTTGACACCACCCTCC